TGACGCCGTGTGGGTCAGGGCGCTTACTGGACCGGCGAATCGAAGCGATGAAATCGTCAAGAAGGACCCGAAACTTGTTGGCGTCGTGCCGCTCGACGCCGTACAGCACCTTAAGGAAAATGCGGAAGACCATTTCGCGCGTGAGGCACGCAAGCGAGATGGCACCGCCTCGCGCCGCCCATGATGCATGTTCGGCCTGGACAATCTCGCGAATGAGCGGTGCATAGAGATCAAGTCGTGCGGGCGTGAAAGCTTCAAGGGCTGCGGCCTTGCGCGCGTGGTGCTCCTCGCCATCGATGGTCGGCATGATGGCCCCTAGGAGCGCGACAATTCCGGACGGGAACGCCCCTTCGCGCACGATGCTGCCGTCTTGCAGCTTGTCGTCGAAGGCCGCGAGGAGCTCGGGGCCGCAGAATCCGGCGATCTTCTCGCTCACGAGATGGCTCTCGAGGAGAAAGAGGTCCCCGTATTGGTCGCGCGACTCGAGCATGCCCGCCCGCGGGTCCTTGGAAAACTCGATCATCTTGAGGATGTTCATGGCGCGCTGGCTCGCAGGAAGGTCCGTCGCTGCGCCATCGGCATGGACCGTGCTCGCCTCGTTGCCCATTCTCACTTCGTTTCGCAAATGGTCGAAGATCGCGATAACTTCAAAGGTCACCACTTCGGGTGTTCAAACGCATTAAAGTTGCGTGCGGCAAGTCATTTTACAGTCCTCTTGAAGCTGCCGTGGGTTTAACGCAGGATCTTTCCCATGATGCGTTAAACGGGTACGTCTTCGCCATTTCAAAAGCTTGATGGAAGTGAGTACCCCAAATGACGTCAACCATCAGTCCCGCGGATCGCGCTCCTGCCTCCGCCTGTCCAAATCAAGCTCCTCAAATAAGTGTAAACCGAAGAAAGTCCATCAATTTTATTAAACGTAGTTTATTTCAAAAGACAACCCACTGCAACAATAACGGCGTCAGCCACCAATAGTGCTTTACTGCATTAGAAAACAGGCGAAGCATTGCGCTTCGTCGACGTCGTGTTGTCCACTCGCTCGTACCGGACCTGTGTATCTACGCTGTTGCATTGTCCTTCCCAACACACCGCCGTCATACCGGGTTGCCACCAGCCGAGAGCAATTCGCGGTCGATTGGGTCTCCTAAAATCCGGATAAGGGGCCAATACCAATTGCAAGCGGGTCATCTTTGTCAACGTCCGGTATCAGAGGCATTATTGTCGACCAGGACCCTTGTTATCGACAAGCACCTACTGGTAGGTAGACCAAGAGCGACAAGTGTGCGAAAAATCGACCAACACCACCCACTGCGGCTCGTTAGGCTCAAAATTAGGATCAAGCGCCTAGAATTAGGGTCACCACGGTTTACAGCCACCCCATGGTCGTAATCAAGCGCCAAGATGACGATGGCAACACTGCATTTTGCGTTTGCCACGTCAGTTGGCATTCAACCTCAATATGAAGTGGCTACGCTCTGAAGCGATGGAGTACGTGTCGCTGATCATCCACGAAGACGCGGCCCATGACTGCATCACGATGCTTGGTGACCTCGGTGTCGTCGAGTTCACGGACCTCAACCCGGAGCTCACGCCATTTCAGCGTCGGTACGCCTCGTACATCCAGCGATGCAACGAGATGGACCGCAAGCTTCGCTGCTTCATGCTCGAGATGACTAAGTTCAAGATCTCGGCCAAGAGCGCAGACAGCGTCGACTCGGGCTCACCTGATGTGTGCTGCGGCAGTCCAGACACGACGGTACGGGCTCTCAACAGTATCGAGCGCATCCTCGAGGACAAGGAACAAGAGCTCCTCCAGCTCAACTCGATGCACGAAAAGCTCACGCGCGAGTACAACGAGCGCAAGGAGCTTCAGGAGATCATGTCGCGCATCGGCGGGCTCGTCGAGACTGAGACCTCGGACGCGATGCGCGTCAGCTCGCGCATGGGTAGCAGCATGACCACTAGTGTCGGCTCGCCGATGGACGCGTCCGAGTCGGACTTGGCCATCCGCTTCAAGAACATCACGGGCGTCGTACCCGCGGACGAGCGCCTCAAGTTTGAGCGTATGGTGTTCCGTGCGACGCGCGGCAACTGCTTCATGCGCTTCTCGGCCATTGACGAGCTCCTCGCCGACCCGGGCACTGGCGTCGCGGTCGAGAAGCACGCGTTTGTGATCTTTTTCCAGTCGCAGTTTATCGAGACAAAGCTCCGCAAGCTCTGCGACGCGTTCCACGCCCGTCTGTACACGCTGCCGTCGATGGACGACCGCACCGCGATCGCCAACTTGATCCAGAACAACAACGCGGAGCTCAACCAGAGCTCGCACATTCTGCGCCGCAACCGCGAGTCGTGCGTACGTCTCTGCCGCGAGCTCGCCGAGCACCACGAGTCGTGGAAGTGGTCGGTGCTCCAGGAGAAGGCCACGTACCACACGCTCAACACGTTCAAGGCGGACGTGAGCGGCATGCTCCGCGGCGAAGGCTGGGTCGTCAAGGAAGCTTTGGATCAGGTCCGCCGCGCCGTGGACCGCGCCCACAACGCCAATGACAAGTCGATGCCGTCGCTTGTCGACTCGGTGCCCAAGCCGTGGCCGGTCGCGCCGACGTACTTTCAAACCAACAAGTTTACGTCGGCGTTCCAGTCGTTCGTCGATACGTACGGTGTGCCCCGGTACGGCGAGATCAACCCCGCGGTCTTCACGGCCGTCTCGTTCCCGTTCCTCTTTGGCGTCATGTACGGCGGCATTGGCCACGGCTTTTGTATCTTCCTCTTTGGCCTGTACATGATTGCGACCGAGAAGATCCTCGAGCGCGGCAAGGTCGGCGAGATGACGGCGCAGATCTATGGCGGTCGCTACATGATTACGCTCATGGGCGTCTTTGCCATGTACGCGGGCTTTGTCTACAACGATTTCTTCTCGCTGCCACTCAACCTCTTGGCTCCAGTGGCAGTACCTGGACAACTGCG